GATGAAGTTAATGTTACTCTTGTTGTCTTTCTCTCACAATATCTCCATCTTCAGTGACTGAGCGTCAGGATAATGATGAGGTGAAGTTAAGCTGCTCTGTGACGAGACGTGGAGACTGTAGACAGACAGTGAAGTGGCTGCTTCAGGGTCGAGATGTGGATACAGATCACAGAGAGATAAAGACATCACAGTCTTCCTGCTCTGCCTCTGTGACATTTCTGACTTCTCATTTTAGTAACACACCAAGGTTTGAGTTGTTTACTTGTAATGTAACTGATGAGAACACGGGAGAAGAATATCTGTTTCCCTACAGCCCTCAGTCCTCAGGTGAGAACATGATGAGATGTTGAAGTTACTTTTTACTGATGTAAAATAGCCAGAATACATGTTGTTGATTCAGAGTTTAAAGACAAAGAGATCAAAACCTCTGAGTATATGTAACTCTTCTGACTTCTCTCTTCCAGGTTGGTGGTGGTGGATCATCGTTGTGATCGTGGGTGTTGCAGCACTCACAATAATCAATAATCACTGTGGCTGTCATCAGACGGAAGAGGACTCAAGGTGAGGACATTCACACATTATACTTTACAAACTAGAAGCTTTTGATGAACATGGATTTTAACTGTGGAAGTTCAAATCAACTCTCTTTTGAATTCTGTTTAGGGAATGAAACGCAGACGGATGACAACGTGGTGAGTTTAAACATTTTGTTATTCACTTTTCATTTTGAATTTAACCATCAAAGGTGATCCTACTTTTTTTAAACAGAAAGTAGGAGTTTCTGAGGCAGCAAGATCAAAATATGATTTAAAAAACTAAATGAAAAACAAAATACCAAATCAACACAACAGTCTCAAAATGACCACAGGGTTAAAGGTCTAATAATGGTAGTATTTTCTTTGCTCTGTAACCATTGATTACAATGCATGGATGTTGAATACGATGAAACCTGTACAGCAACTATAACTAGAGAATGCAATTCCTGAAGAAATTGCTAGTGGGAATGCTTTAACTGTGAACATTGTTGCGCTGAATTTAGCTGAAAATGCAGAAAAAGTCTGAATATGTTTTAGTTGAATGGTAAGCTGCTTTAGCTACAAAAAGTGGGTGTTGGGCTTGAATTGGCGGAGAAATGTAGAAAAGTGAAATGATTTGAATCCAAATTGTTACAGCTCAAATGCATTGCAATGTACTTTGTTGAAAAACTTGAAAGTGAAATGGTAAACTGGAGAGTAGAAAAATGTGAGGAAGCTAATATTTAAAAGAAAAGGTTAATAAAGGTATAAACAACAACATGTATAGCCTCCATTGTCCTGAAATAGCTGAATAAGTAAATAGTTGAATAGTTTGTGCAGCTGAAAGTAGGCTGAAGGATNCGAGGGTTCCAGGAGAAAGCAAGACGGGAGTTGTAGGTACAGACCAGGTCAGGGAGCAGGCGAGGCAGGCAGGTCAGGGACAGGCAGAGTCGAAACCGGGAGAGCAATCTGGAGGGTAATGCAGGAAAGACTGGCATGCTGCAAAGTACGATCTGGCACTGAGGTGAAAGTGAAGTGGGCCTAAATACTAATGGAGCTGATGGGTGTAACAGAGTGAGAGAGAGAGACAGGGTGTGACTACCAGGTGACTAAGGAATGTTAGTGCAGAAAATAGGTGAGTGAGAAAGCAGACTGTGACATTATCTGCATAAAATGGATAACGTTATTACAGAAAAAAATTAAATAAAACACTTATAAGGATATTTCTTTGTCAAAATGTATGTTTTATTAGTTGAATAATTGACACAAAGTGGTAAATAAAGGTCATACATGATAGATTTGGATGATGTCAATCATTAATACATTACATTTCATTTAACTGACGCTTTTATCCAAAGTGACTTACAATAAGTGCAATAAAGCATAAAGATACAAACAAAACAACGAGACAGCAGGTATATTCGCTTCAAATAAGCCAAACTAAGGTGAGTGCTGGTGGATTAGTTTGTGATGGGCTAAATTAAACCCTTTAAGTGCTAATATTTTTTAGAGGTTATTAGGCATGTTAACTTTCTGCTATCCTGATACAACACATTTTATATTCAGAAGTTATGAATGGGATTTCAGTGCAATAGAATTACACAACAGCCAGTTTGTTTTACTTTTTAATGGCCTGCTTGACCTCGTTGTAGCTAAACATCTGAAAGGCAATCTGTTCATTGTATTTCTTCTCTCCACACTCCATAAGACATGCAAACCAACCCTCATCAATGTAAGCCAGGTCTGAGTAACCGCTGAATCCACAGTTAATGACCCAGGGAGCGCTCCATGCACTTGGGTCTTTTGGAGATTTATTCACATACACTCCTAATTTTGATCTTTTGGATTTATCACTCGGGTGGGTGAAGAGCAGCCACTTGTTTTGGTTCTGGCTCGATTCCCCCCCTATATTGCCATCTTGATCTGGAAATGAGACAACACTTCCTTGACAGCCACCTGTTGTTTCTACAAGATTTTTGTAGAAACAAAAAAAACAGCTCAGCTTGGAAAAATCCTCTCCTTTGTTATGACTGATGTCTTCTTCACGATAACTTCCCTTAGTGCGTGCATTGCAGTAAATGAGGCTGTTGCCCGAATGGTCAAAGTATTCTGCCATTTGACATTCAAGTGACTCGTTTTTAAGCATCTTGCCAAATTTCCATGTTTCACCCTTGTCGTCACTATACAGGGAGACTGCATGTGGGGCAGAGCTTTTGCCAGAAACATAAGCATAAACTGGGACGATCAATCTTCCACTCTCTGTTTGAAGACCATGGCCTGGCCCGACAGCAAATGTGGCCCAGTGTTTGATTTCAACCAGCGAGTGCGTCAAATCCGTCTCGTCGCTCCAACTTTGACCATTATCTGTAGTCTTAACATAGCAGAGACGAGCTTTGTTCTGGTTATGATCTATCTGCCACTGCTCTGTGCATTCGCCCTCGACACGGATGAAAAACAGGAAGAGTGTTTTGTTGTTCTTCTCATAAAGAGGGCACGGGTTCATAGGACGGTGAGAACCTTTCTCGATCAGTGTTTTTTGCTCCGACCACTGAAAGAGATATTACGCAAAGTTAAAAATAATGCACCTATCATGGATGAGTGTTGAAACTTAGTATATATTCTCAATTGATATAATAGTAAAACAGTTGCTTGGCATAATTACCTTGATTGTCACTTCCATTTCCTCCTTCTTCACCTTTCCTGTCTTCATTACCAACGCCTCTGTGCTAGAATCATTTTCATTCGTCCTCTTTTCTGCAAATGCCATTAAAATGTTTTCATCTCTATTGTAGAAAAGAGCAGGAATCCTGTACACCTCATTCTTGAAGATGGTTTCCTTTTTTTTCACTGGTTCTTTTTGACAAGAGTTTGTGTTGCCCATAGTTGCATAAAATCGTACGGTTACTAAAAGAAGACGTGCAGCTTGCCTTTCCAGGATTATCCAAGTTTGCCTTCTCCTTTTTTTCAGGCTGGTTGGCGCAGTCTGTGAATAGGGGAGGAGCTTTTATGCACAACCGGTGTCTGGTGATAAGAGGAGGTTCATAGGTTCATTTCCTTCTTTCCCTCCGTTCTCTCAGTAAACAAACAAAGGGCAAACAGAAGAAAGACCAGTATCCATTTAATCCTATAACAGTGGTCAATCATTTAGAATGGCAAATACAAGAACGACTTTAAAGGCTAAATGAGTAGGATTTTCATAAAAATAATGAATGGATCGGTTTATTTCTTGACATGTGTTCTGGCCTAACAGTAAATAGGGTCTAGTCCTTGATAAAAAATCACCAAATCAATTAAAACCCAACCGCATCAATACTGCTCAGTTCACATAACTTACGCTAAAGCTTTTCTAATGCTTCCTGTAGCTGAGTATGTGCCTCATCAGAGGCAGAACAATACATGATGTCGTCATCTACATAATGGAAGTCAACATGTGGTACTTGCTACCTGTGTTGCAGAAGGAGAGAGCTACCATGTCACACCAATTTGTATGAATGTTTTGTCAGTCAATGTTTCACTAAGACCTACTCCCATATATATACCAAAATGGACAACAACATTTTAATTACCACTCTTATTCAAAGTAAATGCTGGAAAACAAAGGTCAGTCAGAGATGCTTAGTTAATTCTTCATTTCCACTTGTCCACTTCCTACACATACAGCAGTGTCTAAAACAGCAGCTCACTCTTTCAAATAAAAATTCTCAGCTCCTGCACCATAATATTTCAACATTGTGCAAAATGTAAGAGAAATGTATGTTTAAATCAGTAGGTCTTCCTCCATTCAAATCAAGGACAGCAATCAATACAAACATTATAAGAGGAGAAAGCGTGGTGGATTTAGATTAAGATGTAACAATGTCGTTCTTTTTTTCAGCCTTTATGAAACCAAGTTGGTCCCATTGAGATCAAATATCGCTTATAGGGCAACCTGATCTGTGTTTGATGCAGAAGCACGTACCAGTTTTCATTTTCATTCCCGACTGAGCTATAGCACAGTGTGAGCTCTGCCCCACTACCAACCTCTGCACTCACCAGAGATGCATTGCTCTCTGCGTTGGAACAATGTTGGTAACTTGCACTGATTACTTTATCTGATGACATCAAGTAATACATGCTACAGGAAAGGTCCATAAGAGCTTGTTACATTTCACAGGGAAGTGATATATTTAGGAGTTTATTATTAATCAGTCTTACAGGAAACCTTATTTAACAATTTAATGTTTAACAAATGAGGGATGTGGAATTTATTATTGAAAGAGGTGACTTATTGGATCAAAGAACATTATTAGGGTTAAAGGTAACTGTTGGTTAGTAAAGAAAAGAGTGTTCACTTTCATGGTTGGAGCAGAATCAAAGTTTGGTGAATCATTTACTGGTAGGAATGTCAGCAGGTTTTGGTCAGATTTCGATTACATGGGTCGGATGAAAGAAGGTCACCTTTTATCATATGATTGTATTTTTACGATTACAGTTATGCTAACAGAAAAGAAACCCAGCTAGTTTCATATATTAGTGATGTATTAACACGAGTCACTTTTGTATTTTCATTAAAACAAGGAAGAGATCTTATGCTGTTTGGTTTTTCAGTTAAACAACATACCCTTTACCTTATTCAGAAAAATGAAAAAACAAAACTCCTAAGACCTTTTGTTTGTCAAAATGTATGTTTTATTCTTTGAGTAATTGACACAAAGTGGAAAGTAATAGACACCACATAAGTAGTACATGTAAGTTAATGTCATACATCATTAAAAGTTGAAACAGCGGAAATAAAAACAAAGAACAAGACCATTTGAGTTGATGTAAGTAATTATGACTTTGATTGATAATAATTAATACATTACATTTCATTTAGCAAACGCTTTTATCCAAAGCGACTTGCAATAAATGCAATAAAGCATACAGATAAAAACAGAACAAAAAGAAACTTGCAGGTATATTCGTTTCAAATAAGTCAAACTATTGTTAGTGCTGGTGCATTAGTTTATAATGGGCTAAACCCTTTAAGTGCTAACCATTTTTGGAGGTTTTTAGTCTGGACCGAAGCCATGTTAACTTTCTGCTATCCTGATACAACACATTTTATATTCAGAAATTATGAATGGGATTAAAGTGCAATAGTATTACACAACAGCCAGTTTGTTTTACCCTTCAATGGCCTGCCTGACATCATTTAAACATCTCAATGGCAATCTGTTCAGTGTAGTTCTCCTCTCCACACTCCATAAGACATGCAAACCAACCCTCATCAATGTAAGCAGGTCTGAGTAACCACTGGGTCCACACTTAATGACCCAGGGAGCGCTCCATGCACTTGGTTCTTGTGGAGATTTATTCACATACACTCCTAAATTCAATCTTTCGGGTTTATGACTCGGGTGGGTGAAGAGCAGCCACTTGTTTTGGTTCTGGCTCGATTCCCCCCTGCAATGTCATTTTGATCTGGAAATGAGACAACACCTGTTTCTACAAGATTTCTACTACCGCTCAGCTTGGAAAAAACCTCTCCTTTGTTATGACTGATGTCTTCTTCACGATAACTTCCCTTAGTTACTGCTAGATAAAGCTTTCCCACCTATCATCAGCAAACTCTGCCATTTGACATTCAAGTGACTCATTTTCATTTTGAGCTAGAGCTAGAAACATAAGCATGAACTGGGACGATCAATCTTCCACTCTCTGTTTGAAGACCATGGCCTGGCCCGATAGCAAATGTGGACAACTGTTGGATTTCACCAGCGAGTCCGTCAAATCCGTCACGTCGCTCCAACTTTGACCATTATCTGTAGTCTTAACATAGCAGAGGCAAGCTTTTTTGTGGCATTATCTATCTGCCACTGCTCTGTGCATGTGCATTTCACACGGATGAAAAACAGGAAGAGTGTTTTGTTGGTCTTCTCATAAAGAGGGCACGGGTTCATAGGACGGTGAGAGCAGGACATTTCTCGATCAATGTTTTCTGCTCTGACCACTGAAAGAGATATTACCCAAAGGTTACAAATAATGAACATAGCATGGATGAGTTAAAAAAATAACCGTCACAATGGATATACCAGGAAAACAGTTGCTTGGCATAATTACCTCGATTGTCACTTCATGGTTTTCCTCATTCTTCACCTTTGCTGTGCACGTTTTCAAATAAGGGAGGAGCTTTTAAACACAGGTCTGTTGAGTGATAAGTAGGGGTTGATATTTTTGTATTGGTTCTCTAAGAAAGCAGAAGAAAGTCCAGAAAAGAACAGAGAATGGGATAAACCAATAGGGTGAAAAATCTACTTATGCATATAACAGGAAATAATGAGGAACAGATTTCTCAGTTTTAGCCAGAATCATTTTTTCTCTTCATAAAAATGAATGTTGTATGCTATGAATTTGAAGAGGAGTAAACATGTACTGTTATTCAAAAAAGGCATTACATCTGGTCCAAATGTTTTGCCTATTCACACATGCTGATTTGTAAAATGATAATTGGAGTCATAGTTTAAGCTTTGCTTTTGCCTTTATGAATAATACATGTATGTATCTTAGATGGAGGACAACTTAAAAACAACAACATTGAAGGCAGTTGCCCTGCACTGGATGAAAGAAAAATGGAAATGTGTAGCTTCTGGAGTGCCATACAACGGTGTGCTGCACCATGTCCCAGCCTTCAGCCCATAAATATCACAAATATCCCCCTTTCCTCTTCTCCTACCACTTCCCTGCTCCTCCTCCTCTTATAACCGCTCCACCCTGCTGCTCAGTATCCAGTGCTGCCTTCAGTGCTAATAAAAAAGCTGACAGGTGCTGGAGACCCAAGCCAGGGAAACAAGAGTTGGAGGGATCATTAATGAGCTCTGACTTGATAACTCTTGAATATTTATGGATCAAACCAAGCTAATATTTCCAAGTACGAACACATCAAAAACTGCCATTAAATTCAAACTGACTGTTTAAACAGTTTTATGCTTTGGCAGGGGGAGGCCTGAATCAGCGAAAAACCAACAGCTGTGAAGTGTTTTGAATGTGTTTGCAACAAATTTATTTCTCAGACCTCACATTATGGGTAGCGGGACAGAGTTGGACGGTTCTGTGTCCGCTGCAGTTGGGAAGAGTTAGAATTATTGGGATGACTTGGATGTTGGGTGTTGTGTTGATAAGCCTCCTATCTGAGCATGCAGCTAAGGACCACCCTATATGACTCAACTCTCATAAAAGCTCACTACCCTCACCCACACTCGGTCGTTCCCCCGCTCTAATGTCAGCTCATGAACTTCTGTTTTCTTCCTTCGCTGCCTTGTTCTCTTTTTTCAGTTCTTCTGTGTTCATCATGCTGGTGTTCATGAATGTTGTGCTCCATGACAAAAAAATCTGTTTAATAGATATTACATGTAATGGTTTTTTCGGTGATTGTAGAAAATGAAAGGCTTTATCTTGTCACCAAGCACAGCTCAGCAGTTGGGAGTTACAATATATTAACTCAGAGGGGTGGGATAGGATGGGTTTATGAGATGCCATTTTAAAAGCAGTTCTCTAGGGTCATGCAAAAGAAGAGGGACCAGGGCACTAACAATCAATTTATATCGCCAAGATCAAAAGGGTGGAAGGGGCAAACATCATTAAGTGGGAAGAGGAGGACATCTGAGTGTAGCTGAGGTCTTTTGCACTGGCTTCCTGTCTGTCAAATAATTGATTTTGAAATACTGCTGCTGGTTTGTAAAGCATTGAATGGTTTAGGGCCAAATTACATTTCTGATCTCCCCAGAACTCTCAGTTCTTCAGGGACTGGTCTGCTTTCTGTCAGAACTAAACATGGAGAAGCAGCGTTTAGTTATTATGCTCCAAACATCTGGCACTAACTACCAGAAACCTGCAGGTCCTGCAACTCATACTCTTAAATCCAGGCTGGAGACTCATCTTATTATCTTTGTTTTATAATGACTGTTCTTAAAAGCCATTTCATAATGTGTTTCAGCTGC